TAGCTATGCAATAAACAAATGAATATAGAACAGTTCTAACAACTGTGATAAAGTGAATGGTGTTGTTTGTGAGGGAGTTAACTTGTTAGTCATACTAACAGAATAATCACCACAATGGGTGATCTTTCCCTCGCAGGGAATTTCTAAAACAAATAGCGTATAAAAACTAAACACACAGCCCATTAGAAAATATCCCACAAACTGCAATAACGTTGCCCTTGCCATGCAAGATTATCAACTTTTCGAGATTTAGTATCACCTGCGCTGCAATGTGTGGTCAGCCATTTTGTGACGTATGGTAAAGGATCCCATAAATGCACAGGAGGCCCAATGAGACTAATAAACAAAAGAGAAGACAGGTGTTCAATGCGAAGCCCACTCCTAATGGGTGAAATCACCAAATTCATTGTACTGTAGCCCCTTTCACAATCATCGGATGTCACTGGAACACTGTTAACTGCTGTCACCACTGGTTTTAGATTTTCAGGAATCTCTGCACCACCATTATCAATGTAGTCTCTGAAACCTTCACCGATGGATGCATAGCTGAAACAGAATTTTTTGCACAGCTGCTCCAGCTTCACTTCACCTTCAAACCATGGACTGTCCACATTGATTGGCCAGCGTTGTGAATTCAGGATGTCAATTTCAGAGACAAGAGTTTCAAATTCACCTGACTGTGATGAAGCTGCAGGTCTGTTGCTCGCAGTTAAAGCAAAGAGTCTGGAGCGTAAATTATCCACCAAACTTTGATAAAATTGAGGGAGATTTATCCTCACTTGGCCTTTTGTACTCTCTGGATTGATGGTCACACCATTGAAATTCCCTTTCTCCAGCGATTCCTTGATTTCTTTCAGATGTTTGCCAGGCATGTCTTTCATTTTTTAAACGGCACGAACTGAACGATTAATCAGCTGATAAGCTCGTGGAAGTGTTATGTAATCTCTTTGCAGAGCTTCAGATAACAGTCACATTTCCTCCTGAACAGCATCCGCAACCCCTGCAAGGTTTAACAAATAATCTACTGACGTCAAGACCTTGTTAAGGCCACTAAATACAGATTTCTGCTTACTGTTATGAGCTGAGCTTAAGCTTGCTTTCAAGAAATGACTGTGTAGGGCAGGATTTGACTCCCAAACTGCTTGTATAGCTCTCTGGCTTGAAGCAACCCATCTAACTGAAAAAACTTTTCCAATTTTAAGAATTTGTACTTCTTATTCTTTTGAACATTCTGAGAGCTCTGCCAGATTTTTTGGTGACTGATGATACACAGCATACAACTTCTCAAAAAATGATGTTTCATGATGAAGACCAGGAATAGAATCAATTGTATCTGAAATGCACAATTCAAGCCTATGACACAAGCAGTGCCATTTCACAATCTTTGGATATTTCTGACTGAGTCGTTCCAGAACACCCGACTTTCTTCCAAGCATTACACTTGCACCATCACTGCAAGCCCCAATCCAGTTCTCGGCAAGAAAGTCATTACTGAACCCAAATTTAGAAAGACAAGCTAGAAGAGTGGCTTCAATAGACTGTGCATCTGCTTTAGGCAAATCAAGCAAATCGAGAAAGAAAGTGACTGGTTCCGTTAACAGAGGTACGAATATAAACTATTAACGCTGAATGGGTAGAACCAGTTGTAGACTCATCAATATAAACAGAAATTTTTGGAGCCTGCTCAACAATTGCTTTGCAAAGCTTTTTTCTCATTTCACTAGCAATGCAATCTATTATATGTGCTGCTGTGTACTCACCATGGAGAATACATCCTAAGTCAGCTCCATTTGCAACCTGCAAGCTGATAAGATCTCTGAAGTCTGTGAAAGGGCAATTTTTTTCGCACAAAATTAGGCAGTGCGAAATACCTTAGTAGTGGACGCAAACTTATGCTTCTGCTGTTCAGCAATATTGGATTGCAGAATCTCCTTTCTGGATACTGCTTGGATATCTCCTCCCTTTACACGTGCTTCTGAAATCTTATGTATGTGGATTTTTTTACGTAGTGAGGTCAACATATCTTTTTTTTGTTTTGTCATATGGTGTAATAGTACCAGTGCTCCATTCTTTAGAAATGGATACACCCTGTGAAACAGACACTCCAAGGTGTTTAACCCCGCAACACACTTTTCACCCTAAAAGACCATTGTCTACAAACAGCCAAGGGTACTTTTTTTTTAATTCTAGCCACTGATTCTGGTCCCAACATTCTGGAAGAATGTTATCACTGACATCGGCATCTTCAGCCACATCAGTAACCATGTCCTCTACAGCCGATTCACTGACTGCTGTAGTTTCTGCAGCGGACACCACCTGCTGAAGCAAAGGCTCAGACTGAGTGGAGCAACTTGCAGAATCATGTGATTTTTTTTATTGAATGCCTTCGTGAAGAAATCCGTAATGCTGCTTTTTCGTTTGCTCATTTCTGTACAAATAAAAACAATTTTAAAAAAAATGGTGTAAAATCATTTTCTGATAAAAAAAAAAAAAATGATAAAAAGACCTCTTTAGGTAAAGAATTCCCCATCCATTCTGTTATTACCTCTTATTGTGAAAAACTTTCCTCTGTTGTCTCTGGTGGCAGTGGTGGGGGTGGTCCGGTGACTTTGAGGTGTAGGGTAAGGCACAAATCAGCACAATTGTATGAATGAAAATGAATCATTATTCTAAAGATTATTTAAAAAAAAAAAAAAAAATGATCTAACAATTAGTCTCATATATTAGTCTCCAGTCCAGTGGATGTGACACAGATATCAGTTATTTTACATATGGTTTGTGATTCTGTTTGCCACCCTTTAGTGACTGTGTTTTTAAGCCCTTAAGGACTGAGCCAAATGTACACGTTGTGATCAAAACAAAACGTAACCAAAAACTGGAATTTGCGCTATATGTCTGTTCAGGCGTAATTCACCTCTTCATATTATGTGCACCTACACTTATTATATATCATTTTACTCAGTGGAAACTGTCCAGGGGGGCCGAAGAG